GAAACGTCTCTGGCAGTGTCGATATTTGTTAGCAATATTAATGCTTTATTGGTGCCCTGAAGGCCATTTGAATTGTACCAGTCTTTTAAACATTAAGGAGGCCACATGGTGTTATCAGTCACCTACAGTACATAACCCCAGATAAATTACTAGAATTTTGCTTTCTTACGTATTTGCGTAAATATAGGAGTTTGGAAAAAAAAACACCAAACCCAAACCCTGATTACTCACAGCACTGATCTCTATTTTTATTTCACCTAGTTCACAGCGCTGGTTTCTGTTTTTATTTCAGCCAGTTTGAATAGCTTTTGTTTTGATTTTGTGTTTATGAACTGGGACTTAAATAATTAGTATCTGGGTTCTGAGTGCTCAGGAAGTAGTTGGACTTCTGCAAAATAGTATAAAAAAAGCAGAGATTCAGCATGTTTTTCTTTTTTTTTTATAATACATGGGTAGTTTTCACAACTTTGAGGAAAAATGTAAAAGCCATAGTGAAAATTATGCTGAGGCACTGCTAGCTTTCAGGGGCTGTGAAAATGCAGTTGTTCTTCTACTGCTGGGTGCACTGCTGCTCTTATGATGTGTCCTGAAGTAATGCACAAAACTTATGGCTACTCGCTCCATCCCACTGTGATTAAAATATAATAAATACCTCAGCTGTCACTGGGAAAGTCACTGTTCTCAAATACAGCTTCATCCATGTTTGCTCTCTGGCTTCATATGAAAGAGTTAGTTAAATGTGTGTTATGAAGAGCCCCGTGTTTACAGCTCTGATGGCAAACTTCCAATGGAATTAAATAGAACTTTTGCCAATTGATTCAATTAAATATTTTTATTTCCAATTCTAGTTTCATCTGAATAAAAAAAATCACCCTATGTTATTGTATATTATGGTTACAACTAAATGTATTTGAGAGAGGACATTTTTGGTATTTTTCTTAATTGCAATATGTAGTTCTCAAAGGATAGCGTTCTCTTAAAGACAAAAATAGGTGAGCAATAGGTAAGATTTCTTTTTGTGCAGAAACCATGGACATTTAATTTTCTTTGCTAGAGAACATGTTCGTGCTCTTGGTTTTGTTTTTAATAACTGGTGCTATCAGAGGTATTTTTAGCAGAGCGTTGGAAATAATTTATTTCAGTTGCTTGTGATCTCCATGGGACTGAGCCCAAGCCATTGCTTATTTTGGATGGCAACAAGACATAAAAAAGTGGTTAGCATGAAGGGGAGAGACAGTTTGATGGTATTGTTGAAGTATGTCCAGAGCACAAATATGAAAACAGTTACTAGAAATTGAAGCCACTGTAAGTCAAATGAGAAATTTTGATACACACTTTTATCCCTGAGAGTGATTAACCATTGCAGTAACCTACATAGTGTTGTCCTGTCTGGTTGACTTTCTGTAAGCTGTGCTCTAATGAAATGCAAAGGTGACTTTGACAGAAAGTGAAATGGTGAATTCTGAATGTTCTGTCATTTACAGGAGGGAGCCCTTAACTACGACCAAGAGGTCTGTGAATCTGTTAACTTACTCTCACTGAAGAGTTTTGCTGGACAGTCTGTTAGGGCAGCTCATGGAGTGCTCGACTTTAACTCATGCGAATTTTGCCTTAGGAGTAGGGTATTCTTGCTTCAGTGTTTATGTTCTCTTTCACTTTGGTAAACTTTACCGGAAATTAGACTAAAAAGAAACCTGAAGCAGAATTGTATCTTGGCCTTCAGTATGTTTGCTTTAGGAACTTGATATCCATGTGATTTCAAAGAAGGTTTGCCCTGCGCAAGAGCTTCATAACTTGTTCCAGAATGAAGATTTTATTCTTAGCCTGAGGAGATTTGTTCCATATTTATAATTTCTGACTGCAATTTCTCCTGTGAACATCATGTATGAGTGTGTGTTCTTATGTATGTAAAGAATAATAGTTGAGTGCATGGAAAGCTGTGATTTGAAAACATTGTGGCCATTGTCTTTGAAGTCACTATTTAATGTTACTATGGAGTAGGATAAGCAATGATCCTTGGACTAAACATCTGTGTAGATTCCAGGTGGTTATCATGGGCCAGTCTTCTTGTGGTCAGAGCAATCCACACCTGCAGACTTTGCCTTTTGCCGATGGCGTTTCCTTACAGACCATGTAGGAGACAATTTAAATGAATTTATCTTGTGAAAAACCCTACAACAAAAGTAGTGAATTGCAGCAGAGGAATCTCTCCATATGTTTGAAGCAATTCAGGGCTAAGCAGATTTTAGATATTTGGAAACTGCATTTGGAATGCAGGACAAGAGGGTTACATGAGAAATTTGTCTTTAAAATGGGTGGAATTCAGTTGTTGATCACAGATGACATGTTTTTTTGGCAGGTTCCTCCAGGAATATAAATGTAGGTTAGAGCATATCTGTCACCTCCCACTGCTTCCTACCTACACTACGCAATGCAATCGGTCACTAAAGGTTCTGAATAGCACTTCTGACTGGCACCGCAGTCTGTGCCAACCAAATGCTGGATTGCAAACAGGAGGCTCCTACTGGACTTGAAAGACACTCTCTGAGAGCAGGAATCCTGTGTTATGTTGCTAAGAATCCCAGAAGAAAAGGTGATGGCAAATTTCAAGATTCCCAAGTAATTTAAACGCCTAAGACCCACTGACCTTCAGTGAGATTTAGGAGCTTGGGCTACCAAAGGCTATAGATGTAAAATCAAGCTATGCAATCAGAAATCTGGCTACTGAGCGTGAAACGAGTAAGAATTTGCCAAAAACCTTGGCAGGTGATTTAGGAAATGAAGCTTATGGTAATGAAATCAACATGGTTTAGAGGCATGAGTTGGAGTTTCCAGATCAGAGCACATTCTGGGGTGCACCCTAGAACTTGTGTTCCTACACTGGGCAAAGGAACATTTGATGACACTTCTAATGTGCTGACATAGATAAGGAATAACGTTAGACTCAGAAGAAACTGATGCAGCATTGTAGTCTTCAAATTACTAAATGGTCAGAATAACCCAACATGAAGATTTCACTTTTAGTAGTAGTTTTATAAATATTCCATTATTCATAAATTCAGGGATGAGGCGTACAAGACCTCATTCTGTCTCACCCAATATCGTCTGGAAGCAAGAGCAAGATACCTCCTGCTATTTTCAAAACAGTGGTATAAACACCACCCAGATGATCACACCTGCTCTCTTTTGCTGCTTTCTGCTAATTTATTTTGGCCATGGTATTTCCTCTTTTGGTGGCCAAGTCTCTACTATAAAATACAGTGTTACTAGAGACACTTGGAAAGCTTTGGAGACCCCTAATGGGAAATGTTGTGAAAAGTGACTATGGTTGTATAATTTCTCCATGAGAAAATAACTGGTCACCAAAAGACAGTAAAAGAAGCCCAAACCTAAAAAGGCCCCAAATTGTGCAATCGAAGGAAATAAAAGGTACAAAAGGGAAAGATGAAATACTTAGACCATGCCAGATCAGCGTCAGAAAGCCTTGTAGAAGGTCAGACAAAGAGCCCATCGTGCTGTGGTTAAAACTGATGCGCTCAGTATGGAGTTACGGATTGCAGTGGTGCGGCCTCCTGTGTTTCCCAGGTGATTGGGCTACGTGATGCATTGCCCTGGAAGTTGCCTGTTCTGCAGAAGCCCTGAAACCCCTCAGCAGATACCGAATCCGTTGCAATTCAGCAGACTCTTACTCTGTAAACTTGCTGTGAGCAATTCTTTGTCAGTGACGGGCTTTAATTACTGTTTTCCCCACAGTTAAGAGTTTGTTCTTACTTATTTGCTTCAATCAGAAATTAGCTTAGGAAGGAAAAAAAAAAATCTGTGGCTTCTTGCAAAAATGAGGTGTCTTCCAGATGTTTTTCCCTACGGGGTGATAGTTACCTGAGCAGAAGGGAAGGAAGGAGGCCAGTCAGTTGAAATTGTAGATACTGCCCCATCAAGGGTAGCAGCTGTTTTCTTTCTACTTTGTTTTTATGAAGGTGCCCTACATTGGCTTTGACTCTGAAAGTGTGGAAGCTGTGAAGAAGTGAGAGCAATTACCAGTGCTGGGAGGTCTGGAAAATGGGGCGAAAGTCCCACGAACCAGCCTGGATTTTGTGTCTGAACCATCCAAATCAAATACAGACTTTATGAGAGTTTCCAAGTCGCCGGTGGAAACTCAGGGTCTGGAATTCATAGTTTTGACACCTACTTTAGTTTGACACCATTTATTGTGATCACTACGTATAGAAAGTGTTTTCATAGGATGCCATAGTCGTAGTGCAGAAGGTGATGGAAAGCTGGAAGAAGGTAGTGCCTCCTCTGGATTACCAGATCTGTGATCTCCATGGATCAGACCCAACGATAGAAATTTAGGACCTTGAGCAAGTGCAGGAGCACAACTCAATGGCTGTGCAGGTTGGAACATCAGAGTTTTGTGACTGGGAAACTCTTAGACTGGGCTTTGTTTAGGGGGACAGATTTTGACTGTGCTGAAATTCCTTTCTTGTGTTTTAGCAAGACTCCGCAGTAACCCACGATAACGCTCTCCGTTTATGTGTAGAACCATCTTATGCTGAACCACTGTTTGGTGGGTGAATATTTGAAGGAAAATTGGCTGTAGCATTAAAAATTTGACTTTTCTGGGCCACACAGTAATTTAGACAGCTTTGTGAGACTCTGAGGATTCTTCTGACTTAGAATAGTTGCACCTTGGTATAGTCCAGAGGCAGCTTTCCAGCAGGAAGTGCAGCCTGGAAATTGGCTGATGCCTCTGCATACCACCTCAATGAAACCACCATGGCAGC